TGGCTTCGAGAACAATTTACGAAAGGTTTCTTTAATCTCGTCAACGTCAACACAGTGTATCAGGTTGCGGACATCTTGACCAAGCCGTTCACGAGCAAAGCAAAATGGGATCACGCTTGCAATCTTATCGGAGTACGGTGGGTGCAGTTGGATGGAAACATTACAATCAAGCCAGCCCCCACTAGCGAAGCGCAAGCTTCCGCCGTTTCCACGCATGAAACCTATGACCGTTTTTTTATGCGAATTTTGCTGTTCTGATGATTCCAAGCTCGGCGACAAATCAAGATTACCTGCATTTGGTTGCAAAGTGCTTAGAGTAACTGAACGTCAGAATGCGTTGGTTGCTGATACGCTGCAGTGGATATTTGACGAGGTGCAAATTTTCAGGAAGAATGTCAAGTCCAAAACACCGCCCTGAGTGATGATTCATGCTTCACTTCCGTGTACGGGTGGGTGCCCCTGGAACAATATAGTTGGCAGCGGTGGGATCTGCGACGAGCCTGAATGGCCATACCGATGTGGAGACGGTCACTGGCCCGAGCTGTTCAACAAGTGCGCCAAGGCGATCGATGTGCTTGAGGAGTGCAGGAGTTGGTGGAGCATTGCGAACATCACGATCTTGGCTAACACCGAAGGTTCGTACTATATGCTCCCGCCCATCTACAACCAGTTCATGGAAAAGTTGTTGGATGAGTCGCTCAGCAAGCACAAGCTCCTTCGCAAGAAGGAGTCGACCTTTTTGGTGTCTCGACAGGACAGGCTCGACAATTACCACATGATGGACTCCATCGAGAATCGGAAGACGACGGTGGAGTGGTTGTGGTCGCTTTTCAACGTGATGAAGTGCGTGGCTGTCGCTGAGGCTCACAAGGACGACTTCAACAATGTGAGGCTGTACCTTGAGTATTCCCATGACGCCGAAGCTGGACTAAATCCGTGCACTTTGGCTGAGTATGAGGCAAACAGGAAGCTCACGCTTGAGTCATGGGAAAGCCTTCAACGTCCTATCAAGCTCGCGAAGGGCCGCATTCTCGAAAAGATCGAGGAGGTCGAAATCAAGGAGGAGATTGATTACGACGACGATGAAGCACTCCCGCAAGGGAGTGCCGCTGAGGCTGCGCTTGGCGTCAAGGCCGCTCCGGCTACACCCAAGTTCACCGCGAAAGCATCGCCTAAGGTACTGGCGAAAGCAAAGACAGCAGCGGTGGCATCGGATGTGCGGGGGGCAACCCCTGCCGGAAGCGCATTGCCAGGCAAGCCCGGCGGCATCGCCACCTTCCGCGGCCAGCAGTGCGAGGCAAGGATCCTCCCGGGCACGATTCTGAAAGTGCCGACCTTCCTGAAGGGAGAGCCTTCCTCGACTGACAGATGCACTACGTTAACTGGAATGCTGCGTGGCCGATTTCAGGATCACCGGCCATTGGACTTCGACGAGAACTACTTTGTCGATGTGCACCAGTTGTGCGACAAGTTCAACAGAAAGACCCGGAGCAACATCGGGTACAAGACGCTGTTGAAGATCTTCGCTTGTGATCCGAAATGCAGATTCACTGTTCTTGCGATCAAGCATCCTTCGGCCGCTGAGAACAACCAGGAGTGGGTTGTCATCAAGGTTCGTGCCAGCCAAGGACACGCCAGCAGCGTTGATGCTGATGGCGACATCAGCCGAAATCAGTACGCACTTGCGAAGGCCATCTTCGGGAAGTTTCTCCCGGAGGACGCTCGCAAGGCCGGACTGCAGCTTTCGCTGATTAAGGACGGCCCTGGCAAACTATACCATCGAACCAGCAAGGCCGCAGCCGACAACATCGTGAGGACGGGAGTGATTCCGGGCGGAGTTGGAGCAACCGAGAGCGGGCGTGCGCAGAGCCACTTCTCTATCCACCCCGTCGAAAGCTCCGCCTGCAATGCAGGGGTTCGTGCCTCCATGCCGATCGAGCTCGTCGTTGATTTCAAATACGCGATCGAGCTCGGAGTGGTGTTTTTCCTTTCGGAGTCTGACGTCATGCTGACTGCCGACATCGTTCCCAATGACGCCATCCTGTACTATTCAGATGCGCAGACAGGTGAGGTGCTTTGGAGAAACGCCCTTCGCCTTGAAGCATTGGAGAGCCAAACGACTGTCGACTCGCTCGCCGCAAGGCGAGCCGTCACTGTGACTGCAGATGAGGCCTTTCAGACCGACACGGAGAGAAACAGGGCCATGAATCCCGAAGATGAGCAGACAAATGAGGACACGGCCGTCACTCGCCCGGGGCAACCCGAGGCCGATTCCTCAGTCGTCAGATTCAAGGCCTTCGCCATGCCCGTCCACTACACGGACTGTAGCATTTGCGGCGAGGACATGATGCAGGGGCAGCTGAAGTGCCAGCGTTGCGGACAGAGCACCAAAGAGGGCAATGACGTTCAACTCTTCAGAGCTGCAAAGCGGAGAACGCAAATGCTCGAGGAGGTGTGTCACCGCGTTGGCAAATCGGTTGATCACACATCAACGATTTCAAGGGCTACACGGATGTTGCAAAGCGAGGAGCAACATCTTTCGAGGCAAAGCAAATCGAAGCCTCGAAGAACTACGATAGCAGAGCCCGGAAGCTTGGATATGACAATGTGGTGGACAGGTTCGACAAGGACGCGACCTTTGCCCTTCGCATGGTCGAGCAGGGCCACAATCGCGAGAGCCTCTACCAAATGTCTATCTATCGGTTTTGCGTCCTTCCCGAATTTCCTCGAAGTTACGATCAGAGACTTCTCGGAGTTGGGCCTGGCTATGGAAAACGAGGACTCCACTACGTCAGGACTGTCTACGTCACTAGCTTGCACTCGTTTCCATGGCGATTCTCGTATAACGGGAAGATGCTGAGCCTTCACCAATTTGTCGCCCAGGTCAGCATCCTCCCGGGGATGCGCAACCTCGTCACGTTCGGCGGAGAGTTTCCTACGCTCCGGGCAACCGGAGCCGAGGGCCTTGAAGCTGAGATCAAGGAGATCTGTGACAGGGCGGAGGGCGACGCAAAGAGGCTTGCTCAGCGCAGCCAGAAGCAAGGCGCTGAGGACCGTGCCCGTGGACACACTCAGCCTGCATCCAGCTCCACCGCAGCAAGAAGCCGCAGCTGGAGGGACTGGAGCGACCGCGCCTGGAGCAGCTGGGAATGGTCGACCTGGAGTTCGCGTGGCTGGTCTACCAGCGGGAGATGGTGAATGCAATCAACATGATAAAGGAGCACCTCTGAGAGCGAGTAGCCGTTTGTTTGCACGATGGATGTGTAATGTCCATTTTCAACGTGCAATGGATGTGCGTGTTGAATCAAAGCGGGTTGCAAAACCTGCCGACATTTTCGTTGCTGCTCAATCTCAAATGAGGGGGGTGTGGATTCAGGTTCCAACCCTGTGCGTGTATGTGCTTGTACATGCTCCGCCCGCTACAGACTTCAAGATCGCTGACAGCAGTGTGAAAAGGTAGTCAACGGCTTGCTGCTTGCCTAGGTATTCCCTTAGGTGGCCTAGGCTTGATAACACACTTTGAAGAAGAAATGGACATAGGAAGAGACCAAAGCATTGTGAATCATGATTTCTCTGGATTTGTTCTCATGGCTGATGCTCTTTGTACCTCCTCACGCCTCCACTTCCCAATCTGTACTTTTGGTTGCGGAACGAAGGGTCACCATGGCAACTAACCGGGAGGACAAGGAAGAAGTACATAGTATCAGCTCAGCGGCGAACCTTTGCGTGGAACGGCATGGTCGAGGTTCAAAAACCCAAGGTGTTTGCTACTTTCTGCGGCACCCGCACGACCCTCCGCGCAGATCAGCGTGGTCGAGGTTCAAAATGTCAGGGTTCGTACTACTTTTCTGCGCGCGCGCCAAGTTCTCGATGCAAACTCCGGGCGAGCCGCCGCGTGCTTCGCTGCGGAAGTGCGTTGCGCGTGTTTCTTTGTGCAGCTATCTCCCTGTAAGTCGTTCAACGCAAGTTTCGCGAGGCTAGTTTCAATGCAGCTCGGTGCCAGCTTCCTAGCGCACATCGACCAAGCCGATCCGCGCACAGGATTGCGTGCAAATGCAAAAGTAGCAAAAGCCCTCAGTTCTTTGCACATCAACCTCAGCGATCAGCGCAGAGAGGGTCGCAGCAAACAAACTTGCAAAGAGCAACCGGCTGCGGTGGTATGCGTGGAGCCGCTGTTCAAACAACAAACGCCGGCGCAGGACAAATGTAGCACGTTGCAAAAAATGTGAACACATGAATTCAACGTTTGCTATATGGTATGCCCTCGCGCTACCCGCAATTCTAGTTCCAGATTGTTGCTGATCTCAATCAGGGCGGGTTTTGAGTTTGTTTGCTGGGTGGTTTAGGGTTGACGCTCAGTGCACTGCTGGTTTAGCAGTGGAAAAAATAAGGGTTGCTTCAGGGTGTGTTGAATTGAGATGTGGGTTGCTTTGGGATTGGCTGCGCCAGCTCAAACCACATCAAATTTGCACAAAACTCACACCACCACATCCATAAAGCAACCCTAAAGCCACTGCTAAGCCGGCCCGGAAACGAGCAAGAGTCAGCTGCAGCCAACCAGCAGCAGCCTGAATATCAGCCCTTTGACGAGCCCAAGTGAACTCCAAACAAGCCCAAATTTACCCTAAACCACTCTCAACTGCCACCAAGCCAATAGGCAGCCTGCCCGCCAACCACCCAGCCTGTCCGCAGAGAATTTCGCCTCTTCAAATCCAGTTTCGATGCACCGCGCGGGGCCGTATGTTGAACCGGGGCAAGCAAAAAACAAAATTAACCCCCTCTCTTTGTCTTACACATCACACACCTTAAGCGAACAGTTGCAGTCAGTGTGAGGAAAGTTTGTACGGTTTGTAGATGTGTTGAGTCGGGATTGTTCTTAGCTCAAGGTACTCTTGGAGCCTGGCTGGGTGACTGTGTAGTGCTAAGTGTGCAAGTGTGTGGGTGCAAGTGAAAGTCTCGCAATGTGGAGCAAGACTGTCTTGCTGCCTGGTGCATTGGAGGCAATCCTATGGAAGATGTTGCTCTGGTGTACTTCAAGGCCAGCGCACGAAGCACTCTGTTCATCACAGGGAGATTCCGACCCTTGGCAAATGGTTCCTTCATTGAAGTACTATGATAGCTTATAGCCTCATAGCTGCATGTATTTAGTCAGGCCACGTTCAAACCCAGTTCACCTTTCTACTTTTTCTTTTGACAAAGTGGTTTCAGCCACGCCGCAGACTGGAACGCAGCTTTTGCCCGTTGCCACGGAAGTGCAAACCTCCTACGTCTTCCAGGCTCGACAAGGAATCACTCATGGCCAGTACTCACCTGCACTATGGTCTATACACTAGGTTCAAAAATTGCTCAAGTCAAGAAGGTAATGTTAACATAGGATTGAACACCACCGATTACTCACCCGCGTTTTCGGGGTCCAATACTAAAACTTTCCACTCTCTGACGCGGGCCTCCGCCTGGGGAGGGAATCCGACGTTGACATTATCCTTCAGAGGCTTAAGGCAAAAAGCAAGCGCTCAGTTTCATAAATTGGAATGGCAAGCAGCAGGATGTTGGCGCGATTTGCTTGTTCAAGCAAATCACTCCATTTTGCAGCGCCAGGTTGGATCCAGGAGTCATGCCTTACCCGCAGATGGCGAAACCTTCTTCGACCTGGTCAGAGATGGTGCTGCACTCAGCAATTCCAAGACCCTTTGCTTATCATTCAAGACGAGGAAGTTGAAGAGAGGTCCTTGCAAGGAAATGCGCCTTAAGCAACCTTTTGTGCGTTGCTGAGTACCTCAGCGCAGATCCGCCTCAGCGAAGATCCGCGACGGAGTTGCGTCAATAGCAGCGTTTCAATTTTGCAAAGAAACCTTCATATCTGTTGTCTTTTGAGGCTTGCTGCCAATGCCTTTTGACCTTACCATTGTTTGGAAAGTGCCACATGCCAACCGATGATCACCTGAGCTCCAAAAAGCCGTGCCACCTTCTTGTTGCCGCTATGTTGTTCAGTGAAAGATCGGCAAACGTTGCCATAGTCTTGGCTCCGATTGCAACCTACATTGTGGAGAAATGCATACAAATGCAGTTTGCCCAAAGTACATCTTGACTCTACCTGAGGTATAGGGACGGAGTGCGTATCTTTAGGCAGACCGCGGTAAGCGTATAATTAAAGGGGCTCAGCGATGGCGTCGCGAAAGATTCGCGGAAGCAAGGAATTTGAGTGTAGGCCCAACATACTGGAGGTATTCAATTGTTAGACTGATTGTGCTTGGTGTTGTTTGCCTGATGTAGATCTCCTTTCTGCCTTATGTGTGAGGAACAGACGCGCCGAAGGACCTTGGCGTCTCAGGCTCCTCATGTTTAGATCTGAGATGCGGACTTGGCTGCCAGGACTTTCATAGCATCGCTGCAGCATTACTGCGCGGCACCCAAGCCACCAAGCCTTGTTAATTTCGCACGTTTGCCAGGGCGAAATGTCCTCCCATATTTCTGACCAACTTTCCCAGAACACAAGTGCCGTGGGCATGCCCTCAAGACAGCCCGCTTGGCATGTCAGCTATGCCTCGCAGAGGCCTGCGGATACAGGATGTGCCGGAAGCCTGGTGTCAGCTGAGTATCAGTCAAATATCAGTGTCCAGGGAAAAGTGCATGCCAAGCTGAAGATGCGGCTCGGAACAAGTGCCATGTGAAGACGCCAGGCGTCCATTTATCATCATCAAAGGAAGTTTCAGAGTTTATTTGCAAATATTGCGTCGTACGACAACTTGAATCCTTAGCTAGCTTAGCATGTGATAATAGATAAGACAGCACAATGCAGATGAAAACAGCACAGCAAAACAACTGAATTGGCAAAGAGAACTTATGGCCGCGAGCGTGAAGGCGCGTAAAGGCTGCATGTGAACAATGAGCGAACGCATTGGCACAGCAAGACACGGCGAGCCTATGATATTATAACCTCAAAGCATCTCAAAAAATGAAGAATTAAGCCTTTGCGTACTTTCTGTGTTCTCAGAAGTGTTGGGGCCATAGGCGAAGCTGTGTGTCGGACCTGCGAAAGGTGAAGCCTTTGCCCAGTTTTGGCTGGCCTTCAAATCTCGGCGTTTGGTTATTTTGCCATGTTCAAACAATGGTAACCCTCTGCGTACTTTCGGCGGGTGCGGCATCGGCCTTTGAGCTTCTCCTACTGGCACGGCAAGCTGCAAACCCAGATTCGGAATCGACTCTTGGACATTCCCCATTGGTACGGCGCGATGCAGTGCTCCCATTGGGATATGCGAAGCTGGTACTCAAAGGGCACTTCAGCAGACTCGCTGTAAAATTGTTTTTGCATGAAAGCAGGGCAAAATGTATTTTTGAAAGTACGAAAAGTGCAAAGTGCGCTCTTGCAGCTCTGGCTCCAAGCTCGCAATTTCCAAATACAAAAGAACTACGGGAAATGCACGCGCGGCTCTCGAAAGTCTGATTGTTTGGCGAAAGCAGCTTGTTAGCTGCGCGATGGGCAGGTCTTTGACTTGGCGTGCGTAGTGGATGTGGACACGCTGGTTCAAGCTATGTTTGCAAACGTAGCCTCAACACGATGTCGATGATGGGGCCACATGACACGGCATGCTAGACAAAATATTTGATTGTAACAACAGCTGGGCCCTGAGTCCTTTCGGCTTTTTCTGAATTGGAAACCTCCCCTGGCTCTGATACTTTGTCTCAAGCCCTTCATTGCCTCTATGCCGTCCCCTTGCCATCAAAGAGCTCGTGCTCCCCATGAGTGCTCCCCGCCGAGGCTGAACCCCTACGAATTTTCTCCGGCACTCAAAGCCGATGGCCATCGGTGGGATCGCCTTAATGGCCTTGGACACAAAGTGAGGGCCAGGGGCCGTCGGATGAGCCAATCATGGCATCATGCCATTATGCTGGAAGGAATGTTGAATTGTCCTGTCCTGAGAAATTGCAAGCTAGTAGATCTCCCAGAAAGATGATTGGCTCATGCAGAATTTCTTCTTAGCGACACGGAGCCAGACCGCTCCAAGTTAATGTGCTGCCCCCTCAATCAGAAACTGATTGAGCGGGAGTTGGCTTTTAGCCGGCTGAGCACAATGCTGCTTGGCTGTGTCAATGTCTACGTCCGTTGGCGGCATTGCAGATGATGGGGGTAATTCTTGCCTGCCAAATCTTGGCAACATGTGACCCTACGGTCGAGCCGTTCCAAAAATGTGAAAGCATGTACAAGTCGCCTCAAAATCTAAGACACCAGGGTTGGCCCCATTGGCCGCATGCTGGGGCCCACCGGTTGCTAGGCCAATCTTCCTTGATCGAGCTGTGGAGCTGGCGGACAGGCAGTGACTGTCTAATGCTTGGCAACAAGCAGATGTCACAGGCTCCTGCCAGCTATGAACACCTCCTCGGGCTTGCCACTTCCAAGGCGCGCCGCTTCCGTTTGACGGGGTCAGTGACCATTCTTGCGTGTTTGCGAGCAAGGTAGTAGCATCAGTTCCCATACATTGCTGTGCAACAAGCTGCATTAATTTAGAAATCCAATCCATGAGGAAAGAGTGTGGCTCATGCGGCTTAGTCTGTGCATGGTTTTCAAGGACAATGCATTGATGGTGCGCGTATTGTAGAAGTTGCATGTGTGCAAGCTAAAACTGAGCACACTTTTGCCTTCCGCACTCGACATCGGCGCCTTGTTACTCAGTGCCTGACACACGACCACACACACACACATACACGCGCTCGGCGCTCGACTGTTTCGTGCCGACCACACCCGCCAGAAATGTGCTGCGTAGCTGGATGGCGCGACTTCCCAGAGTTCCTTGCACACGCAGCAACCGCCGCAGAAACTCTCTCGAGCTGCTTTGGTGCATTCTATGACCTTTCTGACTTGGGCTGCCAGCCATTGCGCTGCCTGCAAAGCTGATCAAAACTGTCCTGCAAAAATTCTCAAGCATTGCCACTATGTTTGCTTATTGTAGCAGGTCATTCTGCTCTCAGTTGCCTTTCCAACTGGCTGACTGGCAATGGACAGTTTCTCTTTCGGCTTGGCTTGTGCAGCTCCTTATGGCAAGGTGGAACCTGGCGAGAGGGCTGGGCAAGGGTACCTATGACTCGTCCAAAGAGCCAACTATTCTGGCCGAGGCCATATTGCATTTATCGTTTTCAACCATCAGCAAGATAGCCAAAGATGTCGCAAGGCTGGAAGCTTTCAGTTGGAGTTCCGCGCCGTGGCTGCAGATATTGATTTGTTGTGGCACGATGTGGTACGGATGCAATGATCATTCTTGCTAGGCTTCCTGAGCGCCATTACCGGTGATTTGCGGTACAGTCGGGCAGAAGCCTTACTCGATCTATCAAATGCCAGTTTCATGGATGTGTCTATCCGTGGGAACAGACCCATGCAGTGCACTGCTGTTTGAATACTGGCGGTATAGTCGGCTGCTTGAATACTGGCGGTATAGTCGGGGAATCTATGAGGGGTACCGTGTCGGAATCTTCCAGGGTTTCCGGACAGTTCCTGCGTTCTGGCGAACTGAAGGTCGCAGACGCTTGCACGTTGGCCATCCGGTCAGCAGGTCGGACTTATCTTCTGTTACTCCATTGCATTAAATCACTGTCAATTTAGATAAGCCAGAAGTGCGGGATTTGCACAATAGTGCCAGCGCATGCGAGGAGCAGGATTGGTACCAGTTCATCTTAGCCCGCCTGATAGAAGCCGAGTGAAGTTCATGAAAGACAGGAGAGCGCCGGAGATCGCAAAGTAGCAAAGTAGCAAAGTAGATTTGATCATGTTGAGCCTGAAGCACACTGCAAGTTGAAGTCAGCCAATTGCACGGAGGATAGCAATGGGGGCATTGGCGGACTCTTACTATGCAAAGGCCTCAGCCATCCTCCTAGGCTTGTTGAGAACTCGGTTCATCCAGCTGCATACTGCTTGGCCTTGGGAGGAATACCTGCTGAAGCAGTGGCTCCAAGCTCCTGCTGACACACCCGCCCGAGATGCTTGGCCTCCCTGGCCTGCTTCTGCGGCAGGCGCATAGTTGGCATACCACCTGAACGCACGGTGTAGCATGTGCTTCATGTGCTAGGTTGGCTGTCATGGATGAGCTGCCAACCTTGGTTCATCCAGATCCAAGACTTGACACAGGACCACGTGATTTGTGCGTACTTGTTCACTGTTGGAATTGACTTGTCATTTGCATGGCTTCGTGAACGCATGCCTCAGAAGTAGTGTGCGCTGGATGGGGAACTTGCAGGAGGAAAGAGGCTTCAACTAATAGAGAACGATGAAAACGGAGGACGGGCCACACATGTGCCAAGCATAGTCCTACCCATCCTATTTGTTTTTGTTG